TTCCAAACATATTGCCATAACATATTAATTTTCTCTAATTTTCAAGACTAATTTGAACATGCTCAAATGTACACCTTCGTTGTCTGAACTGTCAGTTTTGCCTCTGGGGTAATTTATGTTTGTTACTATTTATTTCTGTAATAAAAGCATTTCTTCTGATCCAGGGCAAAAGTTACTGAGATAAGAAAAAAATGACAAAAGTAACAAAAAAACTGAGAAAAAAAATATACAACTTATCATACAAATTGATTGTTTATTGTGGGTTACATGCAATAAAGCTGAAATATTTAATAACGGTTTATGTATTTGTGCTACTGGTTTTTGGTCATCTGTTTCGGGAAATCATCAGATCACAGCAATAAATATCAATTTTATTATAGCTAGCATTGTATTTATACTTGTTTGACGGTTCAATTTAAACTTGTGACATGAATATTATTCATTTCCAGCAAAAGTACTACTTGCAAGCAAGTAAAAGCTGAATTTCAATGCCTATGTCATATAATAATCTTTTCAGCAATGAATAATGTTCTATGTCTTTAATGTTATGACACATCAGAATTGTTTATATACACACACACACGTGTGTTAACTGCCTAATAATAGAGTAACACATTTCCCATTAGTCATTATGGTAATGGGGAGGATTGTATATTTAGGGTCTTGTAAATTCTCCTTTCTTTTAGATAACTTTTGCTTACTGTAGCAATAAAATAACAGATCTATTATTAGGCAGTTTGGATACCTACAATTCAATGTAATCCCAGAAGTCTTCTTATATATTGTTCAAGAAAGGAAATGAAGTATAAAACAACATATTCTAACAAGCTGTCACCAATATACCGTATCCTCACATACTGTAAATGAAGAAACCAAGAAATTTAATTTACAAATCATGTTCATCCTATATGCAGTTTGTCAGGAATGTTGCCTCATAAGGATATAACACGTTATTGTTTTATGTGATTAATACATGTGACATTTTTTTGACTGGTAATGCCTGTAATTTATAATCAGTGTGAAACGCATAATGAAAAAGAACATTGGTGATAGCTTCATCATGGAACCGGTGGAATCGAAATACTGGAGATGCTCTATGCTTCGTAACATATCTGTTTTCTGATAATCTGTTCTGAATTCCTTAGCATGTCATCCAATGATCATATCTCGTGTCATCTGAAGTGGAAACAACACTTATTTTTCATGAATAAATGGAACATTGTCCTAAAACCAGATCTGGTAGAGCAGTCTTGGGTGTCTTGCATTCTCCAATAACTCACCATGCATCAAAAATGAATCAGTTTCTCCATTTTATTTAATTGGAAGTGATTTCCTAAGACAAAACAGATCTTTCTTCAGAATATTGTTTTTAAGTTCTATTTCCAGGAAATGCTCTTGGTAAACAAGTCATGGCTACAGATAGTGATGTCCAGGTGTTTGGAATGATCTTGTTGAATTTAATATTGAATTTAGAATGATTGCAAGTGACTTGCCTTAGTTTCCTTGATCAAATCATTGTTGAAACATTTAGAGTATTAAACTTTAATACTTCTAGTACTGTTTTCATTTATTTTCAATGCCTGATATTCATATTGAAGCGATTATTTGGACAATAAGTACTGACCGCATATGCAAATTAGGATAAAAGATCAAATAAAAATCTCTGGAAAAAATAAAGCTTATGAATTTTGTGGAATAACCAAGAGTGACAACTTATCAATTAATGTTTATTCCATGTTATTTTAACACCTGATTGTGTGAAATGGTATATAATTTATGTTTGACCCATGGAATCAACTACAGTACATCTAATTAAAGCAAGAATTAAAAGAATAGGGATCTGTATGGAAGCCCTATGAAAACAGGCAGCGGAGAACATGACTCACTCCTAAGTTAGCTCTATGACAGATTGTCCTTAGAAAGATTTTAATAAATAACATTTTCTGTTACTAGCAATTACAACGAAAAAGTGAAAATGACTCTTGATGTGTTGGAATGTATACTGACAGATGTGATTTTGTAACATCCAGGATTCTGACATTTTTTAATGAAAAAAATTCTTAATCTACTATTATATTATGGTCATTCTACAACAAAATACACAATTTTCACATTCTACTGAGACTATACTACTATTGAGGGGAATATACTGAATTTAACAGTCCCACTCTATATAATCATACTGTTTTGTCTAATGGATTTGTCAGATAATTTAATGCCAGTTTGAATCTTGATGGATAGTCTTGTTAAACCACAATTCAGAGCCAAAGTCTGGGTACATGCTGTAGCTCAGAGAGGTGACCGAAACACAATTTATGGCATTTAAACTGGGAAATTCAATAGATTTTTGATCCCATATTTTGTGGTCTCATAAGATCTTGATAAGGTTGAAAGTAACATTTTCTTCCCAAGGTGATCACTTTAAAGTCATCAAACTCAACCAGAAACTAATGCAATTGAGAATTAATATTATTTCCAATAAACACAACAGTCATCCTACTCTACTCCGATTAATGCATTTTACTTATTTCTTTCACTATACGCTTCATAGTCTGGTGACATTTAAATGTAATGTGCAGTTAGCCTGATAAGGTGTTCTGCATTTTTTTTTAACTCTATATCACTATTTAGAAACTCAATTTACCATGTATATCCATATTGTAATGAGAAATATAGGATATCTAATTTCATTCTCTAGATGTTTGTGTATGGCTTACGCCTATCACATATAGGCCACACTGCATAATGTGACCCCGACCTCCTGAGAGGTTAAGGCTGGATATTGGACGGTTTATCTGTAATCAGTTCAGCATCAACATAAAATTGGTTTATTCCAAGTCGACAAGATGTGCTGTAATTTCACATCATAATGATGTCGATGTTCTAAAATTAATTCTGGAAATGGTGGAATATTACTATTCATCTATGCCTGACGAAATTCCTTTATGTTAGAATGTAAAGTATCTTTTCCAGTTTTCCTGCATCGTCATGCATTAAATAAATATGGAACTAAAAGGTACAAAAATCCATTTTAGTTGCAATTTTAAAATATATGAGTACATTATATCCGTTTGAAAATTAATATCATTTGCATTAAGGTACGGCAAAATGTGTGTATATATATATATATATATATATATATATATATATATATATATATATATATATATATATATATATATGTAGGCACCGTCAGCATGCATTTATTGTTCCCTTTCCTCTGTAAAGATGACGTCACCTGTTTGCAGGGGGGTCCTTTGCAGCTGTGAGGACAAGAAACTGGGAACAAGAGCACAACCTGTAGGAAGTGATCGCAGCATAACGTATACATGCCGTGTTTTAACTAATGCATCAGCTCAGCCTTTACTCCAAACTGCAGTGTGAAATGTTTCGAGTTCATAGTCTTTACAAATGAAAAATGTGTAAAAGAAAAACAATGAACTCCAATCAGCCTTTCTTTCGTATTCCCACTACCTTAAGAGCATCAGTAGGAGACTTTCAGGCAAATGTTCGCAAAATTTTGCGTGTGCCTTTTAGGACGATATATTTTGTGTCTAGTAAAAACTAAAATACTAATGGGATAAATGCATATTGGGTCATTGTCAGAAATTGTAAAACGCGCCAGCGGCGGAAATCGCCATGGTATCGCCACACACCGCAGCTTTGAAACAACATCAGCTGCGTCGAGCTTTCGACTGTGTGCTCATTTTCTTGTAAATGATACCAAAATCGTGTCCTAAAACATTATCTGTCTCATTTATAATGAACTTAGTCAAAATGTTATGCGGGTAGTTGTGATCGTATTGGTAGCAGCGAGAGCGGCAGTTACCCGCTGTAAATGCAGCCGCAGAGGTAACAAATCTTACTAGAGGACAGCACTCACGGGATTGGAGCACTGATGCTGACAACTTAAGGCGTATTTGTCATTTTACTTTTTCACAAACAAGTACTTAAGAAACACCAGCTTATTGTGAAAGCAATATTTTGTAAAACCTGCATTTCCCGAGCCATGGGCTAAAACCCAAAACAAGCAATACATTGGTACGGACTATACACAGTTTGATTAATCGGGTTGCATCTAGGCTGAATTTGAAAGCTTCTGCTTTTACATTTGTTGCTTTAATTCAAGTCATGCTGTGCGCTTCAGTTTTGCTCTATGTTCTGAATGGGAGGTTTACTGACCGTGTGTAGTATTGTTCAATTTGTGACCACTAGGGGGACCCGTGGGAGGCATTTCAAAACAGCAAAAACACCGTCCCGACACAGAAACGCACAGAGAAAGAAAACAGTCTTCAGGGGTTACCTGTGACTTCCCACTTCAGCTAAGAAAAAAATAAAAACCGTATAAACTTCAGACCGTCTTGGTACAGTCTGCAAAGACATACAAAAGCGATCTGCTTCACTAGCGGGCGCCTATCTCAAGCTCCCCAAGAGCTTTCAGCTGGGCAAATCAATGAAGATTCACGATGCTACTACTGCATTCCCTCTCGCTTTAAAACAAGGCAATTTCGTGCATTTAAACTTTGAAAAACCAGACTCAACTCTAGAAAATTCATCCCGGCATTAAATTCGGGTTTGATTTTTTTTTTTTTTACTATAATATTATAATCGTCCTTCTATTTTGCGCGGAGGATAAGCAAACAACACAAAGCTATGAGAAATACAAAAAGTGCTGCGGGTGCCTCAAGTAAATTCATCAAGACTTGAAAAAATACTGAGAGGGAAATTATTCTAACCTCCTCAAACAGATTGATTACTTACTTAATCATCCCTCTAGTTTAATGGGATCCTTCAATTGGGAAGGTGGAGCACTTGTATGAATTAACATATTCACTTTCCCTCAATCTGTGTTGAAGTGTCTTACTTTTTGCTTAAGGGGCAAGGAAAGGGGGTCGTGGCTTAACATTATAAAGGAAAAAAATAACAGCATCGCCTTTTTGGTTGGTGTAGAATCTGTATCTTGACAAGTTGTTATAAAATCTGAAGGACGACTGGGAAGACATTAAGAGACATTTAGTGGATATAACATTTTGAAGAGATTTGTTTCACTACATTATATTTCGTTTTAAATTTATCTTCTCTTCTTTTGAAAAATGAAACTTTGGACTTTTCTTCCCTGGCTGCCTTGCCTTTTAATTTTTATCATGTGTTTGGGATCTGAGTGCGGGACTGTCCGGAGAATGGTGAGATCTAAAAGAGACTTGGTGCGCATTAGGGAAGCCAGAAGTACCTTCCCAGGGGCTTGTGCCACACGTCTGCCTCGGGGCAAACGTTCCTTGCCCGGGATGGATCGGCGGTCGCCTCGCCAGCATCGTCGCTCCTCCCAGGCGGAGGAGAGCTCTTCAGGTCGGGTAAAAGCTGTTTATTTTACCGGCAGAGGAGATCAGCTACGACTGAAGCCGACTGTGGAGGTACCGAGAGGAAATTTTACCCTGGAAATGTGGATCAGACCAGAAGGAGGGCAACGGTCACCCGCAGTAATAGCAGGTTTGATTCGATTTGTTCTTAATTTTTTTTCCAAGAGAATGAATGGGTTTAACCCCCAAAACATCAACGACGTGTCTATTCCCTCAAGTAGTGGAGATTGAAAGAAACAATCTGTCATGTGTGCATATTTAATTGACATTTTTCAATTAATTGTGTGCTTTGCAAGTGAAATTTGCCAGGAAATCATAAAAGTTTCAATAAGTTTGACTATATACGATTAAGTCAAAGTAATATAGTGATATGTGAAACACCCCAAGTGGGTATGAACAGTTTATGGTTCCGGCACTGTCTACAACTTTTGAATTGCGTGCACAGTCCGAAATGTTTGTGTGCCATAATTTTCGATGTAAAAGGAATCCCATTTTCATCTAGGCAAATATTTGGAAGGTGCCCCTTAAGCATCCTTCAGTAGACTATTGTGATTCTCCGTGTAGCAATGGAAAGTGTTCTATATCGTTACCAATAATAATAATAATAATAACAATAATAATAATAATAATAATAAACACTTGAGAATTACATTCATGAAACGTAAACGTTTTTATTCAATAACAGCATGTTGTTGGATGTCTTTACGTGGGTTATTGTAAACGACGTAACGATTTTGGTGAAAAGTATTTGGGGTAACAAAAATACACTTTTACATTTAACAGTTGGTGGTAATGCGTTTTAGGCCTAGTTTGCATTGTCTTGTTTTTTATTTTCGTTTTTACCTTAATGAAGTCATGTAAAACACGCAGAGCCCACATACAGTCGTCCTCAGGAAACTTTATAAGGTTGTTCATTTTAAGGAAGTCTTGCTTTACACTGAATTTTGGTTTTTATAGTTTATGACTACATTTTATTATATAGATAGAACAATATATAATGGAAGACACTGGAATATAGGTAGTGCTGCAATATTGCTATGTAAACTATGTATAACCAAAGCCAACCAGCATACATCTTAACATTTAAATGAAAGTCCATCTTAAAGACTGATTACCTGCGTTGCACTAGGAGATGACATAGCTGGTTTTCAGCTCGTCCGTAGCAGTAAGCTCGCTTTTATGAACACAAAGCCGATACAGGTTAATAGGCCTATATCAACACAATTTTAAATACCAGTATATTTTACGACACCGTTGGCGTATTTAGCCTATATGTCATGCATTTTAAAATATCTCATTAACATGGACCGATTAATGTTGAGTATGGGCCAGCATAATAAAGTAATCTGTCTCATTATTCATCAGGACTGCGATCTTTGACGATCCGAGTTTGAGAGAGAAGTAAGTTTAAGTTACGGCGCTCTGCAGGTATCCAGCGCCGCGCGTATACTGCCGATTCGCCGCCTGCCTTGGTGACGCCGGACCCCCCCAGGCATGAGCGCTGGGTAGTATATATCTATTCTTATATATCTATTCCCCGTCGGCGACTGGCGGCTATTCCCTGAAAGGGACCGTGGCGAAATTTCCTTTTCACGGGCGACGATATGGATTTGGTACTCAATGTGTTGAAGACAGAAAACGGTGTGCAAATGCTAGCCAGTAATTAGGAGTCTGCTTGAAAGAGAGACGTTACGTCTTTTATATGGTTGTTTAACATGAAACGATTGCGAAATGATACAATAACATGCAATCTGAAATCATACTTTTGAAATATCCCAAGTTAATATTATTAATTTAATTTTTGGTTTGCAAAATTATTTTAAAGCTTGGATAATTGCGCGATTGTATTAGGCTTACTTCGACAGTGGAATTATAAAAAAACGGACTTTTACTTTCGGTTTAAGTTTATTGTGCATGTTATCTCAAAGAGAACTGTAGTTAAACGCGTTCGGATTTATAAAACCTCAAGTTTTTCGACTACCCTTTAGATCCCCTCGTCTGCCAATAGAGAGCGTAATCTTCATTTAGCATAGAGAGAAGGCAATGTTCTTTAGGGATCATCGCTCAAGTGGTTGCAGTTCGCCAAGCGGTGATCATAGACGCAAACACCGAGCACTGCGCAAAGGAAGCGGCGGAGAATTAGAGGACACGTCAGTTTCGCTGTCGCATAAACCCCGGGGATGTCACTGATGGGCTTTCCCGATGTTAAAATATTCAAGAACTGAGCAAGCACTCTTTGTTTATGATGGTTGGTGATATATAACTCTACACGAGTGAGTAAATAAAAATACGTTGACAATGTATACTTATAACTAGAAATATATAGACTATAAGGGAAACGGACAGCTATCAAATGTATAATTGTTTGATCTGATAAAATGATTTTGATTTATAGGAATTTCGTTTTAAGTTTGGTGTTCAGATGTTGTTTCGCGTTATCTGTTCTATGATTCGAACGCATTGTACACAGCACGCAAGATGCAACGTTCATATACATCATGCTGCATTGGCAGATGTTTAACCTCGACGTCAAATGTGTAATTTTTTATCTAAGTATTTGTTTTTATTTAAGTTCTTAATTTATCCTTTTATTTGGATACACGTTCACAGTAGGCTATAATGCATTACGCCATCATTACAAATTAACACTTTTAGTTCTAAAATTAGTTGCAATAAGGTGTAGCGAAACAACGAAAAAAAGAATGATGATATTTGATACTAACTACATACAGGGATGTAACTTCAATACCCTTTACCCTCTTTTTTCGTACAATCATTGTCCTTTTAATACCGGATTCAAATGTTTGTCATGTAAATGTGTGACCCCATCAGCTTGTTACTCATCCGTTCGAAATCGAAAGTCGAAATCTTTAATGTATTAAATGCTTATTTTTCATTTAGTGGCCCTTATATGGCACACTGCGATTTACTTTTATTTATGCCGCAATCTGATTTGATAGGATCGAGCTGGCATTCTTTCTACTGACAACAGGAGAGCGCGTGGCGTGAAATGAACTGCAGCCTGCCCGCCTGCCCCTGTCTGCCCCGGCACACGTCATTGTGTTTGGTCATCAGCTTTGTGTCACTGGGTAGTTGGCAGATAGACACATGCAAGACATTCGTCACTCCATCCTCCTCATCAGGATGATAAAATAGCTCTGCAAGAGTTTCAGTTAATTTAGTTTATTTTCATCTCTGTAAGAAAATTTTAAAATACATATGAATTTTTTTGCACATAATAATTACATGGAAACCGTTAAACTATTGCTTTTTAAAAAGAGAAATAAAGAACTTCATCGTCATCAAAAAGAAAAGAAAAGGAACTTGCACAACAAAGAGTATCTGCACCAGTTTCAACGTGGGTCTTCGTATTTCTGTCAAGCTGTATTCAGCAAGTGAATTCCACATTGATCAATAAATTAAACCATAAGAGCATGTTTGTAATGCAAATAGCTGCAGCAAGTGGAAGACTGGGGGAATAACAATGACAAAATTCAGGACCATGAACAGCGCATAGTAAATGAAAATTTCTCCAGTGAATCTAACGGAATATAACTTAATATTAAATAGGTGTGTTTCCCTAATTACTTTCTGGGAGCATAAACAAAGGGCTCACTCCAATCTCTCTGCTCTCCATGGGGAATATTTTTGCCTTTTAAAACATTTTTCTGGTTTGTTGCTCATAGAAGAACCTCTCTAACTCCAGTCTATCCAACGCCTTTAACAGTCCTAATGTTTAGGGTTTTAACTGAACAAGATATTTTATATTTTCGTCGGGTGGTTTTAAAATTAATACTAATATTAATACTAAAAAGACCTGGTTAACATGCAAAAACAATATTTAAAATCTGGAGTAATAGTGTGACTGTAACAGGATATTAATTGTAATCTTTTTAACACTGTCAAGGAAAGAAATGAATATTTATTAAAATGAACATAAATACTATGCTTGTACATACACATGACTTGTTTTCAGGAGCAGGAGACATAGTAATAGATTAAAACAGCTGTTTGTTCCAGGTTCTTTGAAAGGAATATAAGAGATGCAACGGTGGGCTGTGGTGTCATGGCGATACACGATCTAGGAACCTGGAGGAAGCCCCAGAGTACTGGGGGAAAATGGGGGGGGGGCATTAATCAGTCAATGGAACTGTGTTGTGCTAAATGACACCAGGAGAAAGAAAATAATACGATATACAAGGAAGAGATGTAGGAGTGCAGCAAACGCTGGCCTTAGAAGTGTTTAAACGTAGCAGGATAACACAGGTTCACACAGCTAAGAGTGCTGGCTGGGTCTGTCCCACCCTGCTGTCTGAGAGACATATTTGGGTAGATAGTGACTATCTGACAGCGAGGTGACAGTAGGACAGCTTCCAGGACCTTAACATTCTGGAGTTTCTCTGACCTGCCCTCCCCTTACTCCCCTCCAGCAATAGCACAGGGTGAATAAATAGATTCCATGTCTACTCTTAAAAAAGGGAGATGGTCCCTGGTCCTGACCATAGCCTGATGAATGATTCTATAAATCAACTCTCCTTGCTCTCCTTGTTTTGCCTTTTTTCATACTTAAAGGTTCCAAGCAGTGAGCAGATTACAAGACATGAGTAAGGTCTGTCAAAGCTGAAGGAGCTACTCCACTAGTGCTCCAGTGTTTACCTCTTGACCCATTTCCGACACACATTGCTGTTGCTCTCAGTCCTTGTTTAGCGTCCCTTCTTTTCCACATCTGTCAGACTGTATTGAAAGAACCTACCAAGTAGTACTGTGTCTGAGTATGGTGTGAACCGGCCAAGTGAACAATGACAGTGTTTTCATTTTACCTGCCCTGTGTAATAGAAGAGCTGGCCTTTCTCCATACTGAGATGTAGGTAGTGAAGGGTGTTTATATTAGGACTGGCGTGCCCTAACAATGCTGTATTTTAGTAGGGACACGTCTTTAATCATCATCATTTTTTGTGAACTTAATTTTGCTTAAAAAAAAAGGCACTGGGTTGGATTTTGAGGATATGCCGGCCAGTGGGCAGAAAGTCTGATCTTGTGAAAATTGATTTTAAAAAGAAAGAAAAAGCTGCAAAGCTTAATTCAAGCACCGGGTAACCAGTCAAAGTATCGTTTTTAAAGGAGAATCTGTCATCTTGCCACACTGCTGAGTTATTTTAAATTTACTGCGTAAAGTCACTGCTGTTGATGAAAATGAAGTATCTGTTACTATATTCCCTCGCATCTTTCTCTCATTCCGCTCTGAGAAACCACTGGCTTCCCAACAGCAGTGATGATTGTCTAATAACTGTGTAACTTTTATTAATGTCGCGCAGTATTTAGAGGTTAATATTATATATTGAATTGGTCATATCTGGCTGAAATGAAAAGTGGATTTCATAGCCTTTTCCTGCTGTTTGTCACAGCCACCTTTCTAATAAGCTTTGAAATGCATAGGTACAGACGTGGCACCCTCAAAGTTCAGAGAATTACATGCAGAAAATGATTATTAAGGAGTCATAAAAATGTAAGTGATTACTATATTTAAAAAGGAAAGTTGTTCTTTTCAACTTTGTCTTCATGCTTTTTTTCCCCACGTGCAGATATATTGACCTGTGACTCTGAAAATACATCAACTTGTGGCATAAATGGCACGTGCATAAAATAAAGACTCAAGGTAAACCATAATTTGATTTCCACCACAAACACAGGTGCCCACCCTCTCTTTGGAAACTTTTTACAGCCTCTCTGCTTGCTGCGGTCAGCATCGAATCCCCCTCATAAATGCACCTCTAACTGCTGTGCAAAGACAGATTCCACACATGGACACGGGGGCAGGATGTGTAAACAGCACCGCGCAGTGGGGCTGTAACTCACGCCTTTCTGCCAAAACCCCAGGGAATCCCAGGTTTCCTCCCCTGGTCCTCGCGCCCCCTGTTTGTCCTCGATTCCCGCTAGCCTAGCAGCAGACACCCAGGGGACTTAACCAAACGCACAGGCAGCTTTCAGAGCCCTCTGCTGTATTTAGCAGGCTGATGTCACATGAAACAGAGCTGACTAGTAATGCTCACAGGAAAGCTGCTCTTGTACTGGGGCAAATAAAGGGAAATAAATGAGGTGTTTTGTGGATTTATGCAATTCACGCCATCTGCTGCGACTACCTTTTGTGGTTGCGTGACTATTTTTCACTTGACAAAATAAGACAGAATTACCTGTGGACCTCAATAGTACCTTAATTACTCTACGCAGCGGTAGGTGCGTTCAAACCACCAGAGTTGTCCTTGCCTCAGCACAACCCATCGCTTGTTTAGTCTGGAATAATTAAGTGTGCTCTGTTGTTTGAGCTCGATAAAATTATGGCTGCTGTTTACATTAAGAAGCTTTCAGGAATTTTGGGTATAGCTTCAACTTAAGTGAACTAGCATGTCTTCAGTTCCAGTGAACAGATCACTGCTTTTCTGCCAGACAGTGGAAAACATTGAAACATAATATTTTGCAAAACCAACGTTTATTTGTGCCTCTGCCATCCCACCTGCCTGAAATACTGGGTATTTAACCGTTGAGGTCTGAGGACTAGTTTATACCAAGGATGCTGTTGGAACAAGGAAACTGGCAAAATCCTGCATCCTGCTGACGCTGTTGAAAATAACCTTATTTTTAATATTATTTTAATATTTGAATGTAGATCACATATGAAACCCATGAAAGTTCTTAGCATGGGAAGGGATGTTGTGAAGTGTTCTGTATTCTGTACTGACTGAACATCTTTATTTCAGAGGCGTCATCATTATTGGATATTTTCTCCAACAGTCGAAGCATTCTGCACTCCTACATGCATGCACGCTACAGGTGTGCTGAACGTGTGTAAAACAGGAGTGTACAAATGCGTGTTCGCTCACACACGGAAGCATACATGAACGCTTTCATACATGCAATTAAAGCTCACTCTCATTTTTCATGCCCCCTCCTACACTTTGCCTCTTTGATTATAACCCTAAAAGTTTCCTTCAGATGTAAGAACACGTTACCTTCCGGAACTTAACATATGCCGTCCAAGCGAAACAGAAAAAGGGGCTTTAGAGCCCCTGGCATAATAAGGCTTTTGCAGAAAAGGACCGTTTCTGATTTTTAACTTCCCCACGGTGAGGCACATTTCAGGAAAATAGACTGAATGTTCATGTAACCTTTGCTCTGTTGATACAAGACCACACTGTTAGGGTCTGATTGTTAGCAGATGGCTCATTGTAGTCTTGTGGTCTTGGGACAAGAGCAATGTGGACGTGCTGTGGGAACCAAGTTAGCCAGCACTGTTTACGGTGCTACGTTTTTTCCAGAATGTTTTGCAAACCCCCATCGGGTAAATTTACCTGTGGAACCAACGCTTTTGAATCTGCTGATCCTACACACCTCAAACCACCAACCTAGAGCAGTATGTTTACATAAACTCATCATCACTGAGGCAATTAAATTATTACTTTTTTTAATCCTCTGTGTGTAGACTATGGTGGAGGAAAACCACATCATTCAGTATCATGCCATGACATATTCAGCTGGTAATTAACAGTTTTTGATTATGAAATAAAATTCTACGTATAAGTAATATTTTTTTATAATGTTATGCTGCTCTCCGTAGACTGAATCTAAGGCCTTTTATTGCATCCATGTGCGTTCCTCACAACATTTTTCTCAGGTTTATGTAAAGGGTAGTATGTAAATGTAGGGTGGTAATGTATCTGTGCCCACCTCCAGCTTTGCCTATATCTTCTGCAGGGTCATAGGCCTGAACTTTGTGGGCCCATAGTGAATTACTTAATGTTTTTTGATTATCTCCTGCTACCCAAGGAGGCAGACCTTGGCTTCCCTTCACTTGTTGCACTACAGTTTGTTATTTGTCCACAAGCGGCACTGTGCAAGCTATTGGGAGATGTGGATGACAGGAAGAGTCTTCAGAGAGTGTAGCAAAGCTGTACGTTTATACAACTGATGGCGCTGCAGTCCGGTTCCTTCCGTGTCTCCCCCATTCTGGTCTTGTTCAGATCTGCGTTTTCTCACCGCCCTGTATTCCCCAAGACGGCCGTCTGCATCTTGCTCCCTCTCTCCTTGGTTGCAGGAGCAGTGGCAGCGTACTGAAATGTGTTTCCCTTTGAGCAAATGCATGTACCGCTGCGCTGTTAGGGGGGCACTTGAGAGGAATGTTGTGGCAGACGTCCCCGCTTACCAAAAATCTCACCAAAAAAAAGTCAGGTTTCCAGTCAGGCATGTCAAACAGAAGAAAGCACGCCAAAAATACTTAGATGTGAGATGTGCTAGCATGAATTTAGATGCTTAAAAATGTATAAGCAGGTGGATATTATAAATCTCCTGTAAATGTAGAGCTGACTATGAAAAGTGTTGTAATGAACAACAACTTTGACAGTGAATTAAACCAGCACTGGTAAGAACAGGTACAGATTTTCAGCTTTTGCTAATGTTGAGCCGCGGTTTGTCTTTGCTTTAGGACTCTATGATAAGTGCTTCTATGCCTCCAATGACCGGGGCTGGCTGCTGGGAATTAAAGCCGTGAGCGAGCAGGGCAACCGAGATCCTCGCTTCTTCTTCTCCCTCAAGACTGACCGTGCCCACAAGGTCACCTCTATTACCTCCAACACACGCTACCTGCCCCATCAGTGGACCCACCTGGCCGTCACCTATAATGGGCAGCACATGAACCTGTTTGTGAACGGCGCCCAGGTCGCCGTGAGCCGCGAGCAGTCAGGTGAGGTCTTCAGCCCCCTCACCAGGAAGTGCAAGGTGCTGATGATTGGCGGCAATGCCCTCAACCACAACTACCGTGGTATGGTGGAGCACCTGCGGCTATGGCGACGTGCCCGCTACCAGCCGGAGATCATGAGGGACATGCGGAGGAGGAGCCGAGACGAGCCAGATGACATTGGCCAGCTGGTCATCCATGAGAGCTTCATCAACGCCTCTCATAAGTGGCTCACTGTGAAAGATGGCAGCTTCCCGCAGGCAGAGAGGGCAGGTCGCCCAGGAGTGGGAGACGCGGGAGGGTGGCTGGACACCGTGCTGGAGCCACCGCCCTGTGGCCAGACGGTCTGCGATAACGTGGAGGTGGCCATCAACTACAACCGCTTCTGGACCTTCCGCAAGGCCAAGACGGTGCGCTACCGGGTAGTGAACGTCTACGACGACTCCCGTCACAAGCCGACCGTCACGGAGCACCAAATCCACCTGCAGCACCAGCACCTGAACGAGGCCTTCCGCATGTACAACATCACCTGGGAGCTGACCGTCCACAACGTGTACAACTCCTCGCTGCGACACCGCCTGGTGCTGGCTAACTGTGACATTAGCAAAGTTGGCGACGAGGAATGCGACCCCGAATGCAACCATACGCTTACAGGTTTCGATGCTGGCTACTGCAAGAAGCAAAGGACTAACTGTCCGGATAGAAAACAGGGCAACGAAGAGTGTGACCCGGAATGCAACTGGGATAACTTCAGCTACGATCAAGGAGACTGCTGTAACCCCAACATCACTGATGTCACGAAGACGTGCTTTAATCCTGCTTCACCACTACGGTAAGCCCGCACTTCCTTCCACATTTATTAGCGATGAGTTTTGACAAAAGCAATTCATGTAAATGTCATTCTCTTGCTTCAATGGGGATGAGATGGATTTCCAGAGCAGCCCTAGACAATAAGACATTTACTGCCTCCACCCCCCCCTCCCCAAAACTAAACAATTGTATGATATATTTTTTAACCCCATCTCCTGGCACACAAATTTAGTTGAATCGTCCAGAAGCTCACTGGCCTCGATTGTATACTGCGCTATACTTCAATAGTAATATTAACTGTTCTTCCACTACATTCTTCCAAGTGCATCTTGAAATTGGTCATTAAGATTATTATTATTAAGATATATATATATATATATATATAGTTTCTGCACAGCTACAGGTAGGAGATCCCAGCATGTAAAACCATGTCAAGTTTTTCAGTTTACCGCATTTACTTATTGCACTTAATGCTTGCATATTTGTGTGTTACACAGTTCAGTTACAATACAGTGAAAACACATTACTGTGATGTGAATTCCTCAGTTGTGAATTTAGGATGCCTGACAGCTAACAGACACGGGATATTCCACTGTGGGGCGCGATCTGCAGCAGGGTAACTTGGTCTGTATTTATTCCAGTACTTCTCAATTGCATTATTACCTATGACATATTCATGGTAGTCAGTGGTTTGTCTGCACGACGTGGACCATTCATTCCTCTGCCATGTTTCAGAACTGAGCAGCCGAATCGGCCCTCGCTGTGGAACAGCTGGAAAAAGGCTTGTAGGATTTGTTGTTCCAGTAAACCATATGCCCCCTTAACATCTTGAGAAGAGCAGACAAAGCCAGCTTTTGCAGCCTGCTTGGAATGTTTTTAATTTAAGCATCACTTTATTAAATCTGTACTTGGGTGTGATCAGTTGTTCAGCTTAAATTTATAAATCACGTTAAAAGAGCACAGAAACAAGTTAGTCTCCTGCAGCATCGCTACTTTGTTAACGTTGTGAAACACATATTTGTTATTGCCATGCTTACGTAGCTCATGCAGAAGATTAGCTTGCCATAGCTAATTTTAATGTCACACTCTTTCATTGATTCTGTTGGTAGATTGGTTACGTGTGAATTGATTTGAATTAGAAATTGAGTAGCAGGGCAAGCCTGTTAATTTCTTGGTCTGGGGTTGGATCACGTGATAAAAGGCTTCCTGGCACAGCTCATCATCTGAGCTTCACCTCTGCGCCTCTGAACTCGCGTGGCTCTGCGTTTCGGGCCAGCGGGTTACATCCTACAGGGTAAATGCGTCACTCTGGCCTTTGCTCAAGAGCGATAAGGTTCCCTTGCTCTGGGGCCGAAACAAACTGCTCTCTTGGTAACTGGAAGAGAGGAAAAATAGAGATCTTTTCCTTGGAGATGTCTGAAATATTTTTCCGAATTTTGAGATTTATTTTGTGCTTATAAAAAAGGACTTATAGAGAGTGAGTGTGAATGGAAACCATGTCCCACTGGACAGCGGAGAGAGGCAATTGCTGCTTGGGACAGGATTTCCAGCAGCATTATAGAGCGGGAGTGTCCCTCAGAGAGGGCTTTTCAGAAAGCAGAACATTCCAGAGTATTTGGGAGGGACCATGTGCGCTACGGGAAGATGCATGTTTCTGTGCCCCCTCCCACCATGTTTCTGTGCCCCCTCCCACCATGTTTCTGTGCCCCCTCCCACCATGTTTCTGTGCACTTTGGGTTTCACATTGGCTAATTACAGCAAAACAGCTTAGGAAAAACACTTTGAGGTGTCAGACATGTACCTACGAAAGCCTGTCTTCACATTTAAGCCAATTGTCTTTTCATTAATGATTCAATAGAATAGTTGATTGTGAGCAAGTAGAGTGAATTCTGCTTTTTGTAATAGTGTTATGGGAATTTCTAGCTTTAGATTTCTGCCATAATCTTGTTTTCCAGTGTCAATTTTCACTAGTCTGTCGTCGATAATAACAGTAAAATTATAACCCTAATTACAGCAATCTTTGTAACACATTACATTAAGCGAAGCATTGTTCCTGCTGTGCAGCCCCAATCAGTTATTTAGTCATTATGCCCTCATGAATATGGAGTGTGACATGTCTTAGCAACTTCTGATTGCATCTCTAGACTAGTGCTTTTTCTAGCTGTGCTCGGTTGGGCTGTCTGGGTGAGTCTGTCAGTGTGATGCCACAGACTTGAACCTACCTGCTTTCATGTCATGTTTTTCTGTCTGGGTACAAATTTGTGTGTAAAAAAAGAGCAACGTGCCCCATCCTATCCAAACCTTTATATGAAATACATAAATGAAATTAAATGAAGAACTATATATATATATATATATATATATATATATATATATATATATATATATATCTTATTTGATTAGGAACTGACAAAATCAAAAGCCCTTAATATTTATTGATTGAATTACAGCTATTTCCTCTATACTTTTTAATTATTGTCTGTAAACTTTTACTTAAAACTACAGATGCACCGATACTATTATCGGTATCGGGTCCCATACTGTGCCCATATGCTCGTACTCATCCCTGTGACAATGTGCCAATGCCTGTAACTGATACCATGTAATAAAGTATTAGCTACATCATAAACGAGCAAAATACATATCTCCAGTGCAGGAATACAAAGTTAATAAAATTCAAAGCATAGCGGTCTTCAAACTGTGCTCTAGAAAAATGTCAAGGGGAGATACAAAGTCAGATTCGTACAACACTAGTCATCTAATTAAACATTTAAAACCTAAAGATAAAGAGTATGATGATATTGCCACCAGCAGCAACACTCTGCAACAACCAGACGTCCAGAAAATGCTAGAACCAAGAGAGAAAATGTCGAACGATAAACATGGCGCACGGAAAATAACAGACGCTCTTACCCGGTGTCTCTCGGGCACAACGTCGTAATGGTGGTACACAGACACTTTAATACTTTCTGAGGTGGCAAGCAGTATAAAAGTTTGTAAACCGCTGCTTTAGAGGTGTTGGATAATTAACCTGCCAATCCATCATTTTCCACTGACTAAAAATAAACTATGTCCAGCCCTCCCCATCACCCCTTGGGTGGCAAAGCTTAAACGTTCTCATTAAGTGGCCTGTTCCTTTAAGAAAGACCTTTAAATATTACCCTGAGTTGAATTTGAGGGAGGAAGTTTCATCTGATAATATGAGCAGACCCTGTTGAGAGGAGGCTGAGTGAAGAAGCACTGTCATGGTGTAGGTCTGGTATTGTAAGGCAGCCAGAGGTAATGCTTGTGACTTTCTATGCTGGCGGGACCCACTGCACTGTCTGGAACCATCAGGAAACAAATGTTTCTGGGGGTTCTGGTTGCCATTATGCCATTTCCTAACAGCCTGTAGCAGCATTTTTATGGCCAGTCCACCTAGTTCACGACCCCGAAGATTGAGACGGGAACCCAAGACCCTGCTTGTGTCTGGCTGGCTTTGTTAGCTTTCCGTTTGTCACACCAGATTTGTGTCAGCGTTTGTTTCTCTGCTTGTATCTTTGGTCTTGTAATGCTTTGTTGACATATAAGCCTGGTATGCATCCCTTAGAATTCCTTTCACTGAACCCAGGAAACCTCCATTTATGGCTTTCTTAATGATATTTAAATATGTGACTTTTTAGAGGCATTCTCGTGAAGCAGGTGTGTGTTTTTGGGTTGTTGTTCTTGTTTTAAATGAGTTGCCTTTATAATGCTGATTTGTTTTATTGTTATTATTCCTTTGAGCGAGGCAAATATAAACTTAGTGAGGCATTGTGGGTATTTTTTTCTCAGCTAGACCGAAATCAAAAACAATTTAGAAGAATACTGAATTTCGGAAGGTTATAACCCTTGGTCACATTCATAAAGGAGAGCTTGCTCTGTAGTCTTAAAAAATGTAACATTAATGTAATGATTTGACAAAGGAGAGGATCCAAGCTCCTTAATTTATTCTCAGAATTGTCAACAGTTTGGCTGAAGCAAACAATTCTGAATTATAATCCGAAGACATACAGTCTGGGTTTCCTTGCTGAGACTGCTGCCGACCTCGGATAAGCGGGAGAAAATGGATGGATGGATGGATTGATGGACATACAAATGTCAGTAACAGGAATACAGGACATAGAGTAGGTCATGGAACAACTGCTTGGTCTGGTGAAACGCTCAATACAGTACATCAGGCAGTGGTGGCCTGATGATTAGGGGAGTGTGCTTGCATTAAAAAGGTTGCTGGTTCAAATCCCTGACCACTGAGGTACCTTGAGCAAGCTCCCCTACACATTGATCCCTGGGTGCTCAATAATAGCTGCCCCCTGTTATGTCACACATGCAGGGGCGCCGCTAAGGGGGGGAAAGTTGGGACAATTCTAAGGGCCCACGCCCTTTAGGGCCCCCCAGAGATCTGCTTTATTAATAATAAGTTACCGTAGGGGGGCCCAACCTCATATTTTGTCATAGGGCCCAAAATTGCTAGCGGCGCCCCTGCACACATGGGTCAAATACAGAGGACACATTTCATTGTTGTGAGCATGACATTTTATTGCAAATCTCCTTCTGCACAATTATGTTGCAGTCTTCAAAAATGTGATCAGTGATAAGTAAGGTTCTCTGGATTGCTGATATAATGGTAGATTAAGGTTAGCTAACTCACATTCATTTAGTAATGGCAGGAAAGACTGGTCATTTTAATCATTTTAAAGCATTTAGGATCCGTAACTCACACGGCTTTGCTGATGTGTCTGTGTATGTATGTGAATTATTCCAGGTTCTTCTGTCCGGGTGGCTTGGCTGCTCAGTAGGTAGCACTATTGCCTCACACTTCCAGGGTTAGTCTACCTCCTCTCCCTTTCTGTCTGTGGCATTTGCATGTTCTCCCCATGTTGTGCAGGTTTCCTCCCACAGTCTTCAAATATGCAGTTGGGCTAATTGCCACCTATAAATAGCCTCTAGCACAGTGATTCCCAACCAAGTCCTCAGGGAACCCTGGACTGTCTATGTTTTTGC